AAAAAAAAAAAGGAAAAAAGAAACAAAAGAAACGGAAAGGGGAAAAGGTAGAGGACGATGAACAGTAATTGTTTTGACTTTTTTCTGGGGTAGTTATTATTGATAAATAAAAAAATTGAAACAAAAGAAATAGAATAAAAAAAAAAGCAGAAACGGGAAAAGGGCAACAATGTTTTTTTTATTATTTTATTTCTTTTTTTTTCTTGTTTTATGTTCTTGGTAATTATTATTTTCATAAAAATTGAAATTCTCCAAAATTAAAGTATTTGGTAACCATATTTATATGGAAGTTGTGGGGTGCCTAACACCTTCCCCATGCTTAATCGACCTTCCGAACCTAGTTAATTTCTGCGTAAACCTTGGTGATCTATCCCACCTCATTTGGATAGATGGCGACTCCATCCATTTTGGCACGTCAACACACAGTGCACTAAAATGGGTCTCCAAAGAAGGTTGGGAATATATGTTGGTTTTGAATCGCCATCTATAATTAAATATCTTGAACCATTGACTGATGATCTCTTCATAGCAAGATTTGCTAATTGTCATTTTGGTGAAAATTTGTTCCCCGTATTAAGAGGAGAGGAACAAAAGTTGAAAAAACAAGAATTAACTTGGGATGCATTATCTATATCTCATTTAGACCCTCGAACAGATCAAAGTGAATTAGAAGTTCAGAAAATTATTCATTTGCAATAGATTGCAAATCAATTGCCTAATGCATTCATTGATGCAAAGAAAGTAATTAGTTCACGCATCCTAGTTTTGAATGCTCCTACTTGAGTTAATATTCTTGTTGAAAAAGGTGCTAAGACGATAGCAAATGAATATACTATACGTCAAAAGCGTGGTAGACCTGTCGGTTCCAAAGATAAAAATCCAAGAATAAAAAGATAGCAAAATATTGGTTCCACTGAAATTGTAGAGACTCAAGAGTTCTTGTCTAAACAATAGCCAGAAAATGCATCTAAAGAAATAATCCCAGAAAAGGTTCAAGTTCTTGAAAATAATGAAGATGCAAAAATTGTAGATAATGATGAGATCTTAATAAATTATATTTCCACTATGATAAAGTGGAATCGAAATGTTGTTATTGACGATGTTTTTGCATTTACAATAGCAAATGATATAATCAATGAAAATGGGAATCTTAAACTAAAATCCATTGAAGAATGCTGACAAAGAAGTGATTGGCCAAAATGGAAAGATGTAATTTAGGCAGAATTGAAATCATTAGAAAAATGCCAAGCTTTTGGACCAATTGTCAAAACACCCAATAATGTAAGCATGTTGATTATAAATGGGTGTTTGTGAGAAAACAAAATGAGAAAAATGAGGTTGTGAGATACAAAGCCAAATTGGTAGCTCAAAGCTTTATACAAATACCTGGCATTGATTATGAGGAAACATATTCTTCTGTGATGGAAATTACATTTAGGTTTTTAATAAGTTTAGTAGTTTCTGAAGGCCTTCAAATGCGTCTCATTAATGTTGTAACTGCTTACTTATACATATTACTTGACAGTGACATTTATATGAAAGTCCCTGTTGGACTTAAAATGCCTAAAGTATACAACTTAATGCTAAGAGAGATATTTTCAATAAAATTAAAATGATCTTTATATGGGTTGAAACAATCAGGGCAAATGTGGTACAATCGCCTAAGTGAATATCTCCTAAAAGAAGGATATAAAAATAATCCTATTAGCCCATGTGCCTTTACCAAGAGGTCAAAATCTGGTTTTGCTATTATTGTTGTATATGTTGATGATAAAAATATCATTGGGACACCTGGAGAGCTTGGAAAGACAGTTGAATGTTTAAAGAAAGAATTCGAGATGAAAGTTCTTAGAGTAACAAAATTTCTATCTTGGTCTACAGATCGAGCACTTATTAAATTAAATTTTTGTCCATCAACTAAATTATGTTGAAAAGATATTGAAGAGATTCAATATGGACAAATCTCATCCTTTAAGCTCCCCAGTGGTTGTTTGATCCCTTGATGTAAAGAAAGATCCTTTTCGACCTCGTGAAGATAACGAAGAAAGTCTTGGTCCTGAAATACCATATTTAAGTGTCGTAAGTGCATTGATATATTTAGCTAACAATATACGACTTGATATCGTGTTTCCTATGAATTTGTTAGAAAGATATAGTTTTGCACCAACATGAAGACATTGGAATGGCATTAAACATTTATTTCGTTATCTTCAAGGAACAAAAGACATGAGATTATTTTACTCAAAGCACTCAAAATCAAAGTTAATTGGATATGTAGACACTAGATATTTGTCTGATCCACATAAAGGGTGATCACAAACTGGATATTTGTTCACATATGGCGGTATTGTAATTTCTTGACATTCAACCAAATAGACTATTGTTGCCACATCTTCAAATCAATCAAAATTGATTGCTCTATATGAGGCCAGTCGGGAATGTGTATGGTTAAGATCTTTGATCCAACATGATCAAAAAACATGTGGTTTTAAAGTAATTATAGGAAATTAGACCTTATTATACGAGGACAATACTACATGCATTGCACAAATAAAGGAAGGATTCATGAAAGAACATAGAATCAAACATATTTCTCTAATGTTTTTCTCTACACATAAACTTGAAAATGTTGGTGAAATAGATGTTCAGCAAATTAGTTCAAATGAAAATCATGCAGATCTTTTCACAAAGTCACTACCTACCAAAGTTTTTGAACAACTTGTACACAAGATAGGCATACAACATCTTAAAGCACTTTGTTGAAGTGAGGGGAAGTTTTATATGTATTGCACTCTTTTTCCCTTTGCTATGGTTTTTATTCCACTAGGTTTTTCCTAGTAAGGTTTTTAATGAGCCAGTTTAAAAGTGTATAACACAAAAAGGTGAGCATCCAAGGGGGAGTATTGTGAATTTTTCCTATTGGTGGATGCTTCACATCCACATTCATCCTCTTCCATGTTGTAACTCCTCACAATTAAGGGGTCATTCCTCACCATTAAAGTGTCATTCATGATCCCTCTAAAGGTCATTCAAAGGGTCATTAAGGTATCATTCAAGAGTCCATTAAGATGCCATTCATTCTCTCATTTAGTCTTATTCAATGGCTAATGTAACCCCACTATGTCCCTTAGTCTATATACAAGCCTACAAATTTATATGATTTGTACATGGAAAAGTACATGGTGAAATAAGAAACTCTCTCTTTTATTTGTTATCTTACTACTCGACCTCTTATTTTATCATATATATATATATTAAAACAGAAATCATACAAGGTAAGTAATGCCAGGTGTCACTTTTCCAAGCCTTCCTTAATATTCTCTTTTGTTGCCACATCTCAATATTTTCCTTATTTGGTAAATCTACCATTTTACTTTTGTTTTTTTCTCCCTTTATTAATTAATTTCAACCTAATATTTTTTTACCAACCTTCATTAAATTTAATTTCAGCCTAGCATGCACTCTTCTTTTTTATTTTCATTTTTTCCCTCCAACTAACTAATCAAACTTTAATTACAATTTTTTATTTAAAAGATATATTTGCTAATTTATGATGATTTTAATTTTTTTTAAAAATCTACTATAATATGTCTATTAGATTTTTTTTATTATTTAATGAAAATTTAATTTTAAATCTTCTATAAATAAAAATACTTTAAAAAAAATATTATAATTATATCATGAATTCCTATAATGTCTATAATACCCTTTTATGATGTAATAGTTAAAATATTAAAATTTTATCAATTAATATTAATTAAATAGATTACTACAAAATTAAAAATGATAATCAAAACTCTCTATTTTTCTCACTACATAGTTTATTATTGGATATGAAAATATTTTGTTCAATTTTAAATTACTTGATATTTAAAATATTTGTTTGTTTGATTAATACAATTAAAAATTTAGCAACTGAAATATTTCGCTTGGGTTAATAAACAATGATTAAAATATTTGATTAATTACATGAACCATATTAATAAAAAAATCCAAATCTTAGTAATTAAAACTAAAATTTTGAATTATTTTTAGGTATTAAAATAAAAACCATTAATCAAAGTAATAAAAAAAAGGAGAGGGAGAGTTTTGTTTATTTTTATTTTTTAAGTTTAATATTTATTTAATTAAAATTAATAAGTAGTTAACATCTATATATATATGTATATATATTATAGAGAAACCACTGAGGGGAAAATGTTTAATTTGTCACATGTTATATTCATATATCTTTCTTAATTTACTCTTTTTTTAACATATAGTTTGACTTTTTCTCTGTGGTAAATTTCTTTATTTTGGATTCTTTGTAAATGTGATTATTATTATTAAGATTTATCTAATCTATACTTTCAGGGAAGAGATGAAAAGTGTATTAAATATATATTTTTATTATAAATTTGTATTAGAAAAATAAAAGGCAATCTTTAATTTATCAACTGTTTAATTAAATT